TGGGGAGGAGGGCTTGGGGAGGAGGGCTTGGGGAGGAGGGCTTGGGGAGGAGGGCTTGGGGAGGAGGGCTTGGGGAGGAGGGCTTGGGGAGGGGGGCTGGGGGGGGGGGGGGGGGGGGGGGGGGCGGGGGGGGGGGGGGGTGGGGGGGGGGGGGTGGGGGGGGGGGGGGGGGGGGGGGGGGGGGGGGGGGGGTAGGGGATGGATTCGCGATCTTCGCCGTGACTTGGCCAAACAGCCTGGATTTGGCAGTAGGGGAGGGTTGGTTAGTGGGTGAATTTACGAGTTCACAAAGTAAAATGAATGAAGACTTGTAACGTTTTTGAATCATGTAACCATCATTACGTAATTGTTACACAACTGTTTCATAATTAGTTCAAAGAGATGGGCACAACTTGGATTAACTTTTTTTTTTTTTTTCAATGGAATTACTGTAATCAAATTCGTTTTGCAAGCTGCAGCCGGTTTCCTAAAACTTTTGACTAGAAATAATTTTTGTATTGCTGTTCTTTATTATCAACATACACAAAGCTAGACTCTCCGAACAATGCTTTCATGAAGCACTCAACATCGGCATTCCCACTCCACCACCTACCGCGCCCCACACTTAGGTCATAGACACATCTAGTGCATCAGCAGAAACTTTAAACCCGGCAACCGCCCGTACTAGCCAGGGGCCCCACCACACACACCCCCAGCCAGCACACACAAATCAGTGCAGGATCTGACAGCGGAGACAACAAGTAGCTGACAGCTTTACACCCCCTGACCTTTAACCCACGGCAAATAATGACACGGATCTGACACCTCACATTAGCGCGACCGGCGTGGCCAACGGTCGAAGGTGATCTTTGGTGACCACTGGTCAGTCACAGGGTTGTGGGGTGTCCAGTTGGGCTGAAACTAAGTCAATTATTGACTTACAAGTTGGCGAAGCTGTTGTAGGAGTCAGGAGACTTAAATTTTTTTACTAAAATCTTACTTTTTTTTTTCATTCCGGGTATTATTTGTTTTTGAAAGTAGGCATATATGGTCATTCGATAGTCTAGTTCAGCGGCTCCCTTTGGGGATCGATTCAGGGGTCGCCCAAGACCATCGGAAAACACATAGACATAGTTATGAAGTGGCAACGAAAATAATGTTTTGGTTGGAGGTCACCACAACATGAGAAACTGTATTAAAGGGTCGCGGCACTAGGAAGGTTGAGAACCACTGATCTAGTTTACTATACTCACGATGAACAAATGATCTGCTGGGGCGTCAAGTTCTATACCATGATGTTAGAGGCAAGTTACTTTTGGACACCTCGGCCCTGATCCCAACACATTCCTATCTCAAAGCTATGACGCCATCTGGGTGCCGTGTTAACAGCCTCGTCTCAACCGAAGCGGTTCCGACACATTCCTATCTCAAAGCTATGACGCCATCTGGGTGCCGTGTTAACAGCCTCGTCTCAACCGAAGCGGTTCTTCCTTTTTATTATTTTGATCATTATTTTTTATTTTTTTTTTCACTTTAAAAATTCTTGATTCAAACAGAAACCATTTTTGCCCTATCCCAGTTTTCTTGCGTTAGCGCACCGAGTGACAGAAGAACGTCATTATCAAATCCTATTGAAAACTTGTTAATGCAATAGAACATGGCGGTGTCGCTTTGTGCCTGGTTTCTTTAGAGTCG